CCACTTAAGTATTCTTTTATTTCTCTCAGCAATATCTTAAAGTGTTCGGTTGAGGCCTTCCATGTCTTCTGTTAAATTTATTCCTAGTTATCCTATATTTTTCTGATGTTGAAGATAGACTTAAAAAATTATTTCCTAATTGCTGCTAGTACAGAACAATGCAATTTCACCTTGTATCTTGCAAATTTGCTAAATTTACTTAGTAGTTATTTAGATTGCTTTGGATTTTCTATGTAAATAATTAGGTCATCTGTAAATAAGGATAGTATCACTTCCTCCTATTTCTTTTCCTTACTTTATTGCAATTCTTAGGATCTCCATTACAATGTTGAATGAAGTGGTAAGAGTACATATCCTTGTTTCCAATCTTAGGTGGAAGCATTCACTAGTTCACCATTAAGTGTAATGTATTAACTATACATTTCTTACAGATGGCCCTTATCAGATTGAGAAAGTCTCAGCTATTCCTAGCTAGCTAGTTTCTTAAATAAGAAGCTAACTGGTGTCACATTAAATGATATACCATAATTTATTTCAGCAGCCCTTTATTGACATCCATTTACATTGTTTTCACTCTTTTGCTATTACAAACACTGTAGCAAATAACCTTGCACAAATGTCATTTCACACTGGTACAAGTATACTTGCAGATTAAACTTCTAGAAGTAGAAATGCTTGATTAAAAGGTATACACCATCACCACTGATGAATTGCCCACCCTGCCTCAGCAATGTACGAAGGTGCCTATTTCCCCACACCTTTGTCGATAACGGTGCATTGTCAAACCTTTAGATGACACCAGTCCACTAGGTGAAAGCATTAGAGGGTAAAATGGGATTTCCCCTATCTTTTGATGTTGAAGATAGACTTAAATGACATTTGTGCAAGGTTATTTGCTACAGTGTTTGTAATAGCAAAAGAGTGAAAACAACATAAATGGGAGGGGGGAAGCCTCTTTTAGTATGTTTACAATACATTGTGCTTTTTCTTTGAAGATTCTAGTCATAGTCTTACCTCACCTTTTATACTGAGATATTGGTCTTTTAAAAGGTAATTGATAAGACCTTTCAGAGAAAGATTAATCTTTTCTTTGTAAATCGCAACTTACTTGCCTGTTAATTTTGCTTCTGGTATTTTGTCAGGCAGAAATGTTTGTTTTTAATGCAAATTCATCAATTTTTAACTTTATGTCTTCTGAGTTTTAAGTCATGGTTAGAAGTCTTCCTTATTTCCAGGTTATAAAAGAAATTCTCCCATGGTTTCTAGTACTTTCTGGTTTCAAGTTGTACATTAAAATTTTTAACCCATTTGGAATTTATTCATATAAGGGAGAAGGTATGGATCCAGCTTTCCCCCTGGATGCCCATCCAGTTGTCCCAGCATCACGTGCTGAATAGTCCATCTCTTTGTCACTGATGTGAGATGCCACTTTTATTGTGTACTAAATTCCTGTAAGCATTTGGGTCTATTCCTGGATTATCTAGTATCTTCCACTGATCTTTCTACATATGAAACTAGTATCATAGTATTTTAATTACTAAACTTTATGTTTTAGAACCTGGAAGGGTAATCCACTTTGCTGTTTTCATATTTTTTGGCCATTTATATTTTTATTGCAATCATGGTACATTTAGCTTAACTTAGGGGGAAATGACGTCTTTGTAACACTGAGTCATTCTATAAAGAACACTGTCTTTCCATTTGTTCAAGTTTTCTTTTTGTACCTCAGGAACATATTAAAGGTTTTTTTCAGAGGAGGTTCTTGTACATTCCTTGTTATATTTATTTCTAGGCACTCTTGTGTTATTGTCTCTATTTTTTCTTGCTCTGGAGTGCTCCAGATTTCAGGACATTAGTTTTATTCCCTGCCACCTAAACAAGCTCTTAACACTTGTGGTTTTTGGATTAATTTTCTTGCCACCTGAAAAGCAGTAATTTTACCTCCTGCTTCCCAGTTTTTAAAACTCTAGTTTATTTTTCTTTTCTATTACTAAATAGCTTAACACCAGTGAATCTGAATTGCTTTGAAAACAAATGTGTTCTGCACTTTCATTTAGCCACCTAAAAAATGAGGTCAGATAGAGATTTAATGTCATTTTGTTTTTCACCCAAACACAACTCTTCCTAAGACCTTAAGTTTGTCAACATGGTTTGTTAACTATGGTGCTTTTTAAACATTTAATAACTCTGTTCTAGTAAAAAACCAACCATTTTAGCCTAAGAGTGACACAAACAGGCATGTGAAGTGTGGGCAGCTGACCAGTTGGCCACTGAGCACTTCATTAGCTGGGGCAGAGGGTATATGTCTTTTGGCCACATTATGGTTTCTTGCCCACTTTGCTTTTCCTCTTCCCCACCAGCAAAGCCCCTCAAACTTGCAGGAAGTAATCTGGAGAGCTGACTGTATATTTAGATGATCCTGCTGAAATTCATCTGAGCAAACAATGGGCATCTATGTGGGAGTCAAGAACTAGAAGTTACTAGAGGGAAAGATCCAAGCCTTTTAGATTTTAAATATATTAAGGATTCAAAATACAATATTACATTCAACACCAAAGGGAAAAAGATATGCTTGCTTGTTATCTTCTGCAGTATTTTTTCACTGCTCTTTAAAGCTCATACCTAAGTCCACAAACCTTCTTGACATTCAGCCATTGCTCTGAAAGGGTATATTATTCCCCACATGATCGACAGAGGAAGAAGAAACAACTGGCTTAGTCAAAAGGAGGTATTCAGAAAATGTTCTTTGGCCCTATAGCCACACTTCTCATGTTTTCACGCTTTTCACTCTTGGCACTGCTCTTCCATGATAAATATGATAATATCCATCTCAAAACAAACACTTGCTTGTGTAGGCAAAGGAAATGGAGCCCTCAAGGCTATTTCTATCTCCCTAACTGTGTCCAAGAAAGGCTGCTCAATTAGTGTTTTGTTTTCACTTGAAAATTTAGTATTGGAAAGGTCTGCTTCTAAGGGGTGAAAGGACCAGGTCTGGCTCAGGGGGTAGGAAGAAGGTGACCCCAGGACGCATGGTTGAGACACACTCCCAACCCTCACCCGCCCAGCCTGGCAAAGTAAAACCAAAGAAGCCGGGACTGTTTTGGATTACAGAAACAAATATGGACTCTGGGTTTGAATGTCAGCCCCTCCCCTTGCTGTCCCTGAATCGGTTTTCTCAGCTGTGAAATAGGGGTGAAAACAATACCTATAGTATAGAGATTCTGTGGGGCCCAAATAAATTAATACATATCAAGAGCTTAGAAAAGTACCTGGCAAGTATCAAAAGCTCAGTAAGTGTTTGCTATTATTGTCAGCAGCATCAAGATACAAGCTTCCCATAGAATTATAGTTGCCATCCCATTTACAGTTAAGAGAGTTTATCCAACTCTGATTAAGTTACAACCTTACAAATTCCATCCTCTTTCAATTCCTCTGCAGGCACAGTTACAAACAGTGTTTTTTAAAAAAGTCCTTCATGAAAGATAAATACTGTAAAATTTCACTTATAGATGGGATCTAAAATAGTCACCTCATGGAAGCAGAGAATAGAATGGTGGTGGTCAGGGGGAGGGGGAAAATGTGCAGATGATGGTCAAAGGAGGGTATAAAGTTAAAAAAAATCCTTCTCTCCAAGTGTTAATTTTCCTTCAACCTACTAAAACACTGTAGTTTATTTTCCTGGGTTCGGTTATGTTTCATTGAGACATGTCTATGATAGCTAACAAAACCTAAAATTTTTAAAATAAGACCATAGAAAAATGCAGTGTGTACTCCCCTCTGCAAATAATTCTCTTTTTCAGTTACTTATAACATGAAGGAAAATGTGTTTTAGAAAAGAATATCACAAAGATAGTTACATATATTCTTCCTCCTATTCAGTTAAAATCTACTTTTTTTTTAGCATCTACTAGTATTAGCAGTTTTCAAACAGCACTTGCAACCCATTGAAGGGTTATGAAATAAATTACTTTTAAAAACAGTGAAATAGAATAGGAACTATTAGTGTGAGTCATATCATTAAGGGGAAATCTTGTTTTGTGAGACTTGTATTTCTGTTTTATAGACAGAAGTATGTATGAAGGTATGTGTACACTGGTGTTGTGACGTAATAAATTTCCTGCTGTGGGTCCCAACCAAGAGTGTAATAAACACTGTACTAGACAGTTGGCACAATGCCTTTTTCTACTTATTATTTCCCAGGGATTTTGCACAGAGGTCTCATTCATTATAAACAGATTTATAATTTTCAAAAGAATGGTAATACAAAATAAATCCAAGCCATCCTTTAGTACAGCTCAACATCCTGATGGTGGCAATAATTATTAATTGTTTTTTTTTCCCATGAGCTTTTTCAATGGCAGTGCAACCACTGCTTCCTCATTGCAGCTTTATTTTACAGATATTTATAAGGTGCCATGTGTGTGCCAGGTACACTATTCGGGAGGGATAAATAAGACCCTGGAGGGAGTTCATGACTACTGTTCTTGAGAGGGCCTGTTTTCTGTTCACATGGAGAAAAAAGGTGTGGTGGCCACTTGGCCTTGCCCACTAAGTCAATTTTTATAGCTCTAGACTTCTCCACAAGAAACAAACGATGTCTGGTTGCAATAAAAAGCAAAAGTAAACAACTCCTACTTTGGAATAATAGTTGGAGTAGATAAATACACACGAACTACTTTATAAAACCACTCATTTGGTAATGATTCATGTGTTACATTTGCTAGCTGTAGTGCTGTCATTTGAAGAGACTGCGTGTATCTGTATTGTTTGTTGAGTTCTCTCCTTATTTGGCCTGGTTCCTACTCCACTGTCCATGATGTATATTGCAGATGGTCCGTCCTTGCTTAACCATGACCTCCTGCAGACCCTAAGCTCACTGCGAGCAGGGCTCTACAGAGATCTCCTCTGTGCACCCCACAATACCCAGAAGAGTAACACACATACATGAAGTACCCGCTAACTTTGGTTACTGGGTAAGGAAAAAGTATGGAAGCTTTTACCTTGGGGGAACTGGTAGCCTAGGACACAATGACTCTGCATCTGGATTCTGGGTGTAGTTGACGGAATTCAAACTGTAAACACACAGGAAGGACCCTGGAAACAGAAGATACACAGACTATGCCAGCTCCCTATATCGTGCTTCTCTTTCTAGGGGAGGCAGTAAGGAAACCACAGTCATTTTACCAAACCAGGAAATAGATAAATCATTCACATTTAGAAAACAGGTCTATAGGCGACCTAATCACAAAATGAGTAGGCATCCAGTCAGGCTGAGTTAGATCCTCTCTTTCTTACTCTCTATCCAAAATTCAAACCTAAAGTTGTATTATTTCACGAAAATGGTTTGAAGGTTATTTGAAGATGATTTACTGTAAAAGCTTGATATTTTTTAACCCAACTTTGCAAATAATTTTTAAAAATCTGGCACAACATTTCACAGGCTGATAAAATTTGTAGTGGGTTGCCTCAAATTTCTTTTACTTTGCTTGTTTAATTTTTATAACGTGAATCTGAAAAGTGGGCTCAGAATAAAGTACATCAGTTACATAAATGCTTTTGGTACCACTTACTACTATTCCACTTCTCAGTGAAAGCATCCACGGGCCCCACATTTTAGTGAAACATACTTGCGGCAATTCTACCCGAAGCCTGACGGTGCCTCTCTAGGACAGGATATGCTGGGTGCACAGAGCTCTCTGACCTCTGCCTGACCCTGCCTCTGGGCCCTAAACGTTTGCTGTCCCCTCTATGCTCTCTGGGAAAGACCATTCCCTGGCAGGGAGCAGAGAACAGCAAGGGTTTCAGATAAATTCCAGAAAAACCTGAATGAAATTAAACAAACTCAAGAGAAAATGTTTCTGGCTGTTTCCACACAAGCTGAGTCACCCACAGGAAGGACAATTTCCAGCTTTGCAGAGAAGCAGTGTCAGGCTGAAGCTCTCTTCTAGGTCTATACAGGTCACCCCACCGCAGTTCCAGCCTCAGGGGGAAGAGTGAGCTCCATCCCTTACACCCACCATTGTTGTTGGCAAAGAGCTGGACCTCTTCCAGGGTGTCAAGCTGCTCTTCAGGACAGCTGGATATGCAGAGGACGGTGGAACTGAGCCTCACATCCTTGACATCCGGGTTGCAGGAATTCATAAAGAAGACATGTCTAGGAGACAGATCAAACAGAAGAATGTCTTCAAGCATTTCTTATCATTGGGTTTAATTAAAGGCCTTTAAAAAAATCCAGAAATGTGGGAATAATTAAGGCAAACTTTTACAACCAAATGCATCAGCATGATTTAACATGTATTATGCCCACGGGGATCACCTGCGGAGTCGCACAGACCACACTCTAATGCCAACCAAACTTCTCTTTTCCAGATTCAGTGCGAGATCATACTAGGGAGGTACCTGAGTAAGTCACAGAGGAAGGGAAGGGACTGATTAAACAGCCTACGGGTTGGTTGATCTGGCCAGCGCAGAAACTACTCAGGGAAGTCCACAGAAAGCATAAAGCAGCCAAGAGCATGCAAGCGGACTTCAGAGACCAGCTGACCCCAGGAGTGTGAGATGCGGAAAAGAGGCCAAGGCTGCAAATTAAAGGCCTGCCCCTTGCCCTGCCTGCCAGTTTGAGAGCCAGGAGACTCATGAGACCTGCCCTGCTGCAGGTGCCCAGCCACTGGGAAGATGGGGCCCAAGAGCAAAACTGGTTGCTCCCAGCAATGGGCTCAGGAGCGGAGCTCACAGTGGCAGCACCCAGACCCATGCGCATCACTCGTCCAGGCTGCTGGGATCACAGGAATGCCGGAGGAAGGGCCCTGTGTGGTCCTCCAGGGTCCAGACCTGGAGGAGGCGTCCCAGAGGCTGCTTTTTCCTCCAGCTGTGGTTGGTAAGAAGGGGGGTGATTCAACAGGAGATGGGAGAATAGTTTTTCTGGTTGTATGACAAATATACACTTTAATCTATTTATTTCACTTTAAATATTTTTAAATTGTGGTAAAATACACACCAAATCTTACCATCCTAACCATTTTAAGTGTACCATGCTGTGGCATTAATACATCCACATTGCTTTGCTACCATCACCACGGACCACCCACAGAACTCTTCCTCTTGCAAAACTGAAACTCTACACCCAATAAACACTAACTCCCTACTCCCCACTCCCCACTCCCAGCCCCTGGCAACCACCCTTCTACTTTCTGGCTCTATGAATCTGACTACTCCAGGGAACTCATATAAATGGAATCATATAATACTTCTCTTTTTGTGACTGGCTTATTTCACTTACCCTAATACCTTCAAGATTCATCCAGGTTGTATCATGTGTCAGAATTTCCTTCCTTTATAAGGCTGAATAATATGCCATTATTTGTATACAGAACATTTTATTTATTTTTATATCATACTTTATTTATTAATTATGTATTTATAATCTCTTCATCTACCAATGGACACTTGGTTGCTTCTATCACTTGGCTACTAAGAATAATAAAATACATACTTTTCACTTCAGAAAGGATGACTATTTCTCAGCACTGCATTATGACTACAGTGTGAGACAGGGGCACGGGGGCATCTGAGCAGCCCACCCTCCTCCTTTCTTCCTTGCACCCAGCAACCACACCTGCAGGGGGAATGTCCCAGGTGGTCCATGCCCAGGAATGCAAAGCACCTCTCCTCCGGAGACACACCAAGGGACAGAAGAGGTCCCATCTGGATTCTCATTTGGTGATTCCACACATATACTGAGGACTCCTAGTTGCTGCTTTTGATCAAGTCTCAAGAATTACTACAAGGCAGTCTCCATCTTAGAAAACCACGGGTTAGCAGTTTCTCTTGTAAAAGAGTGCGGAGGGCATCAAGAGTCAGGAAAAAGAACTAATAACACTTAACCTGACCCTAGAGCAAGAGCCACCCAGTTTTTTTGTATAAACTACCGGAGGCTAAGTTTAGAAATGCGCCTGCCCTAAGTTAGATAACTAGAAGTGGGCAACAGCCTGGGTACGTAATTCGTGATAAATCACATAGACATGCTTGGGTAAGCAAAAGATAACAATTGAAGCGGTCAGGCAACTGACGCGTTCCCTAAAAGGTTACAATGTTTCCCATTGGTTACAATATAGAATGTGTTTTACAATTATTGGTTGTAGGAATGCGCGGGCTTCGGTGCAACGGCTGTGAAAACCCTATATAATCCATACCTAAAGTTGCCTGGGGGTGGGCTGCTCTGACCCGGCCTGTGTGTCAGGGGAGGTGCTGTCGGCCCCAGCTAGCTGGCTGAATAAAGACTTTGCTTGTACTTACATCTCCGTGCCTGTGTGCTTTGTTCTCTCGAGAAATCCCCGGATTGCTGGACCCTAACACTCTCTCCTCAGGGGGTTCCTTTCCCTTTCTGTTTCAGTGCTGGAGTTGGAGGGGGGAAATGCCATCGCTGAGAGTGTAGACCCAGGAGGGAGCAGGTCACAAGTCCCCAGCATTCCCAGTTGGGATTCAGGTATTTTTACATGAAACAATACTGTGGATGATATACAATTGGTAACATGATTCTGATACATTATGGATAATAATAGTAACAACTAACATTTGTTAAGCCTTAGCTCATGCAGTGGCTCAGAGGATCCTTAAAACCACCTTGTAAGGTGGATACAATAACCAGTTTAAAAAGATGAAAACTCAGTCATAGACACTGAGAAGTAACTGATGGTTACCAAGGGGGAGGGGTTTGCATGGGTAGGTGAAATAGGTGAAGGGGATAAAGAAGCACAAAACCTCAATTACAATACAAATTAGTCAGTGATGAAAGTGCAGCATAGACAATATAATTAATAGTTCTGTAACATCTTTCTATGTTGACAGATAATAACTACATTAGTTGGGTTGAGCATTTAATAAAGTAGATAACTATCAGATCACTATGTTGTATACTCGAAACCAATATAATATTGTGTGTCAACAATACTTCAATGAAAAAACGATTAAAAAAAGATGAAAACTTGGCTCAGAGAGGTTAAGTACTCTGCCCAAAGTCACACAGCTAAAAAGCAGCAGAGGCTGAATTTGAACTTAGGACTAATGGATTCTAAAACCTGTGTCCTTATTGCCACACATGCCTCCCTTTTTATAAGATGGGCTGATAGAGTTTTGATTGGGAAAAGTTTCAGGCTCAAAACAACCAGTTTATACACAGTTTTGAACTACAGCTGCTCTATGGGTTGGGGGGCTTACTTACACTTACTTTTTTAGGGTCATGTCCTGCCCTGAAAGAGGCGCCCCTTCTACGGGAGAGTTCTTCTTGCCACACACGTTGCCAAAGCTGTCATAGCCGAAGAGGAGTCTCCCCGCAGCTCCCGCTGCCACCGAGTAGCCCATGATGAACACCTGCCCAAATACAGGAGGCACGTGAGAACCTCATCCCAGTCTTACACATCCCAGAAGGCGGTGGTACAAAATGCAGCCATGTGAAACAAATGTCCCAGATTCCTCTCCCTTTTCTTATCTCTTTGTGCTTCTCACCCTCTTCCCCGAGAGTCTGCCACTTTTTCTTCTTGGCCTAACTTCACCAGGACAATTCCATTTCTTCCCCTTGAGGTTCTTGTTCTATCTGAGGGCACCAGGGTTGTACTACTTCTTTCTCTGCATCCCTACCCACCCATCCATTCCTTCCTTCCTTTGTCCCTTCCTTGATTTTCCCCTGAGTTTCTTCCCTTCTTCCTGCCTAACCTCCCTCCTTCCTCCTCCTTCTCTCCCCCTTTTTATTTTTGTCTTATATTTTTGGGTCTTTGACCCTCAGGGGTAGAGGCAACACAATGAATATGTACCAAAATACTGCTCATAGCAAGTGAGAAAATGATCTTTTGGAGTAAGTACTTAAAATACACAAAATAGAGAATTGGAATTCTGCTGCACAAGAACATCTTGTGAAATATCACTTCAATCCAATCTCATAATGAATGTGGAGTATCTGAAATTTCAACTCAAATGACTGTTCCCTTAATAAGCACTGATGGGCCCTGTAAGACTATGTAACTTCCCATAACACAAGCTTAGCATTTCCCAGTATATAGTGCATAGATGCCATTAATTGGTACTGACATGAAGATCCAGAAGAGGGGATATAGTATACCACTCAATAATCTACAGCATTGATACCATATGTTCCAAAGGTGCATTGCCCCCAAGTCAAATATGTTTCAGATATTCTGCATTTATTACTAATTTGGAAATCAAAATAGCAGCCTTCAAGTGCCCAGTGTTTGCCAGAGACTCTGTTACCAGGGGACATAATGAGCAAAACTGAGTCCCTGCCTTCAAGGAACTCAACCTAGAAGACAAGCAGGGCTTGGGGCTTATAAACTGCCAAGCCCCTGGGGAAGAAGGATCCCCACCCTTCCTTAGTCCCACGGGCAGCTCCCAGGAGGAGTGGGTCACCTTTGTTGGTGGATGGATCCCTCACCCTTGGCTTACAGGCTGTGGATATGGCCGTGTGCCCATGCGGCTGGCCTAGGAGGCTTGCTTGGCCCCAGGCTCTGCTCTCCTGCCCTTCCATCTTGGAGTGTGGTAAGAGCCTGACTGGGTTTGGATTTAGAGGAAAAGGGTTCTGTACCTCTGTCCAGCTCACCACAGACCTAATAATGAAGTGGTATTTTCCATGTATCAGCATTTTTCATGTTAATGTCTCCCTGGGGAAGCTTGTGGGGAGGAGTGGAAAGTTTTTTGTTAAGGGCAGGAGGGATCTGGGTAATTCTGAGTTCCCTACTACTACTTTGACCATCAAAACTTTGTTATAATTTCAAAGATGCAACTGCAATTCTCCGTAAATAATATATTAGGTATGTACACCAGGTGCGATGGACTATAAAGGAGGTCACCATCACCTGTATAGGGGGAGATCCAGAAAATGGAGTCTTGAAAGATGAGTAGGAAAAGACAAGTTAGGGAGTACAGTGGAGAGATAAGTAGAGGCAGAGACAAAGTATGAGACAGTCTGTTGTATATGTCTTGTGCAAATATAAACAAAAAAAGGCTGACACTATCTACTTGTAACAGACTGTCCCTGCTTGTAATTGTGGCCCCCATACTCCAAATCTCCTTTGTCCAGCCCTAACTTGGGGCAGCACCATCAATAATCCTGTCTATCATATGCCTCATCATAGGTCAGGATGTCAGAAGACCAAGAAGCCACACAGCAGAGGCAGAAAAAACACTCCTTGCTCTGTTTTTAATTATCTGTGGTTAAAAAATGTTGCAGAAGATACTAAAAGCTAGTCAGCTGAGGAAGGATTCTCATTGTTCAAGTTTAATGTCATCAAGAGAAGCATGCATATTGAAGCCTTCAGATTTATTTTGCAAATATCATGTAATTTTAAAGCAATATCCACCTCTGTGCCATATATCACATGGTTCATACTTCTTCAGGTTGTGATGAGCCATCTACAAACCCTTCTCCTGACAGCTATAGGGCCGAGAGCTTGGTGGTAATGTACTAGGTTTGAACCCTGGAGGGGAAAGAGAAGATCACTAAATAACATTAACAGCCCAAGGTCAAAGCTACTAGGCCAGGCAGGCCAGCGGCTCCCTGTGTTTACACCACAGCAGACCCAGAAACACCAGCCATCTGCGGGGATGTCCAGGAGGAGGTGTGGTAGGAGCGGCTGCTCTCAGCCCCTAGAGCAGGACTCTGAGGGCCCTGATAGAGGAAGGGGAGCATTCAGTTCCACCTTTAAGGCCTAACCTTCCATGTGCCCGCCACCATGTCCATCTGTGTGAAACCAGTAGATAAAGTCAACAAGTGAATAAATACCTTTCTAAAGAAAGAGAAACAAACATGTTATTTTAAGGTTTATTCAAACGTAAGTCTTTCAACAAAGGTAATTAATGTCTGGCAGCTATTACCAGGCTTTATAAGTTAATCATTTACCATGCAGCAAATAGCATGCCTCCATCTGGAATGGATGATTGCATTAACATGGTCTCAAACAAGTTTCCAAGCATCCAGATTCAGTTTCCAAGAGACTGGACTAAAATGGCGTAGCCTGATGATGACAGTATGTCTACCGGCAATCAGACCTACTCAGAAACGGGAGTGGGGAAAAATCATTACCTATCTAACTAGAGGCTTTGTATCAAAAGCCTGTTTTTCTGTTAGCTGCTACAAAGTACCAAGAGTGTTACACTCAGCTGAAGTAAGAGTAATTTATTTATAGGCTCACCTTGGATTTTCCTGTGTCAGATGAACAGGAAATACTTGAATATTTTATTTTGGGAGCTGAGATAGTAAACATCATACACAGGGTGAGCTCAGATCACAAAAGACTACACACCTGGGTCTATTAAATAACAAGCTCATTGCAAAGGAGATTCTCATTTCCCAATGGAATCTTCCATCAGAAGGCGGCCCTACAGCCCTAAGACAGCTTCTCCAATTAAGCAAGTCTAAAGGTTAAACCTGACAAGAATTCCTGAGGACCCATGTTTATTCTGAGGTAATGGCAGATATGGCTCATGGCAGCACAACTTTAACCCAGGACCACCCTGAGTCCTCGGCTTCCCCAGGGCAGGACTAGGAATTCGATTTACATTTGGGGCACGGTTATTTCGGGATACACACTATGGTATCTTCCGTGCCAGGCGTGGACACTTACCCAACCAGTCCAAAAGAGAAAGTACACAAATAACCAGGTCGGATCTGTGCATTTCCTATAAATTTGAGGTCTCCACTCTCTCTGCCTGGCGGTTCTCTCTCCAGAAACCTTCCAGAAAGAGAAGGGAGAGAGTTGAAAAGAAGATAAACAAGCATACGGGTCCCAGTCTGGAAACCGAACCCAAACTTACTCGACTGGTCAAGGTAACTTTTGCTGTTTTTAACGTGGCCGCCAGAAGCTTTCAGGAAGCCTTTGAAACACCTGCTCTGTGCAGAGCAGACGTGAAGTCGCCGCTCGCCAAGTCCTTACCTGGGGTGCACCTGGACGCGGCCCCAAGTTTGCGTCCCGCGGCCGGCCACGGTCCGGCAGGCAGCCTAGCGGGGTCCGAGGGCCTCCCCGCCAGGTGTTCCCAGGAAACCTCGGCGCCGGGGCGCGGGCTTTATACGCGAGGACCGGGGGAGGCGGCAGCGTCCCGGCGCACCGACTGGAGGAGGGGGCCCCCCCGGGGCCAGGTGCGGGCACTCACCGGGTACTCGGCGCCGAAGCACTGCATCCTGAGCTCCGCGGCCGGCGGCGACTCCCAGCCGACGCAGCGCCCGCGGCGGACAGCCTGGGGCCCGGCGGCCAGGCAGGGTGCAGGGGCGCAGCACCGCCCCGCGGCCGCCCCCGAGCGCCCCCAGCCGCGCCCTCCGCTCCCGCCCGAGGGCCCGGGTCCTGGCGAGCACGTGACCCGCCCAGGTCGTCCAGCCTTCGGCGAGAGGCCTGCCTAGTTCGGGGGAAGGGCCGCGGACGCTTACCCAGCAGCGCGGTGGCGGCTGCCGGGATGCCCACCTAAGCCGATTGAAGCGCGGAGGTCCCCGCCCCGCCCAGCCACGACCCTGGGCAGGTCTCGTCGGCGCCTAATTAGCTGGTCCTGCACTGCAGCGAGCAGGAAGAAGAAAGCCTCAGCAAATCCTTCCCGGAGTGGGGAACAGTGTAGTGCTGTAGGAAACATAACGAGCAGCTAGGTAGTCCCTACCCTGTGCAGGATTTTATTCTGCTTCACAAACATTATTAAATAATCAATAAAGCAGAAAATGTTATCCCAGCTGTGCAGATGAGGGAAACTGAGGCACAGGAGACCAATGGTGTAACTTGCTTGAGGAGACACGGACACGGCTAGGAAGGTGTAGAACTCGGAGCTGAACGCAGACCTCAAGGAGGTGCTGCTCTCTCCAGGTTTCTTTGCAAAGGTTAGAGTGTCTCCCATCCAGCTGCCATTTCCACCAGATGGTGGGCCTGGTGGCTGCTGACTCAGTCCCACAGAATCTGTCCTGGAAAAACTAAAGCAGTCGGAAGAACCGCGGGTTCCAGGAAGTTATATAATAAAAAACCCCCAAGGAGTCAGAAGATCGCCTTCATCTGTGAGTGTGTAGGATGCAGATGGCGAGGGGACGGCCTGAGAAGTTAGTGGGATGAAAGAATTATAGATGCTTTTCTCACCTTTCTTCCACACTGCCTTGGGCCCATCATTGCCTGGTTTTTCACAACTGAAATAGTAGCAGCTGCAGAAGCCCCTGGTGGGGGTGTCCTCCAGGTAATAGTAGATCTGCACAAAAGGGCCTTGAGGGTAAGGAATTAGAAACTGCAGACTGACTTCCCTCACCTCCCGTTCACTGTCTATTTCTGTACATCCACATGCCCCGCACTCCTAAGTTACTCTTTCCTTTCAATATTGTTTCTCCCAAAGGGTAGGAAACTAGCTGGAGAAGTGATTTGGTATAGTGTCAGAAAACGGGAGTGACTAGACAGTGGTTCTCTGGTGTCAGAAACTTCAGTTTCACGCTTACCTCTCTCCCACCCCAAACTCACTAAGCCTTCCTGGATTCATAGTTATCAGAGTAGCTGAAACTCTAGGGGAACATGAGTTCACAGGCCAAAAAACTAGATCTCTGAGGAGTACAACTACTATAAAAACAGCACAAATGAACAACATATACCATCTAAAACTGAATTATTAGAGCTAATAGATCAAGATTTTTAAGTAAGCATAAATATATTTAAGAAGGTAAGAAATGGCAATAGTAGTATGAATCAGGGAAAAAATGAATAGAATTATTAAGGCTGATAAATGAATAGATGGAATGCATATTCATTGATGCTATTTATTAATAATGTGGGATGAATAGAACAGATCCCACTGAAGAGGAATTAGTGATTGGAAGATCAGTTTTAGCAACTCTCCAGAGACAGCAGGAAAAACAGCTTATTTTAAACTTTCCTAATTAATATGAAGCTAGAACTGAAATGGAAAGGGAGTGATATAAAAATGTAGAGGAGGAACTATTTGAAGACATAATGGAGGTAAATTCCAAGGTTGAAAGAAAGAAGTAAATGTCAGATTGAAAGGGCAAGTATCAAGTCAAGTATGTATATTTCAAATATTTTTATTTTTCGTTTTAGGAGTTTCCTAAAAATCCATTGATTGATGCAATGGACCAACTACCCAACTAGTTGTCATCAGAATAACAGTTCCTTCTCAGATCCTCAGATCAGTCAACTGGATTATCACATGGTTATGCCCTTCAAGGCTCACTTCAACCCTCTTTTGCTGTGTCTACAATCCTTAATGATCATACGACAGACTTGCCCAATCTAATCAGTTTCCCTGCATTGAAAGGCCCATTTTATAATGAGACCCTAAAAAAAAATTCTATAAATATCTTATCCCTGAAACACATCAAGTATATCTATATTCATAATATAGATATTATAGAAATATTTACAATAATACTAAATAAAAATAAGGTGTCACTGATTGTCATTAGAAGATTCTATGGTGTAAACTCATTATTTTGAAGCTGGTAAATGGATAATCAAACACATCTCTTGCCTTTCCTACATGGACCATACTTCAGGATAATCAAATAACTGATGAAGGTTTCTCTTTATAGATATATTTTGTATTATTAAGTGCAAAAAGAACTTAAAATATCACAGTTTTCCAAACATCATAAAAAAAGGACAGACATTAGCTTTTTCCCATGAAGGACATATTGCCAGCTGTGAAGAAGTCATTCCAGAAAATTCCACATGAATATGACTACCAATTTATAAGTATAGGGAATAGAGGAACAAGTCAAATGACACCAAAGGGATGTCATCAGCAAAACAAAGAATGGGGAAGTCTTCAGACTCATGTCCTAGTTTTAACATGAGTAGCACAACGACAGTAGCAAAAATATGAGAGGAAGAAGGGGGAGGAGAAGGGGGAAAGTGTGGAAGGGGGGAGACAGCAGGGGGAAATCTATAATTTAAAAGAGAATTGAGAGATATTTTAACTAATGCCAATGTATGGACATTATTTAGGTCCAGATTAAACCAACTTGAAAGATAAAAGGAAAGAAGAACATTCATAGGACCATCTAGGAAATGTGAATCTTGATTGGATATTTGATAATTTTAAGTAATTTATATGAAGGAATTTGTGGATCTAATGTCATTGGGGTTAAGTTTAAAAAAAGGAGAGTACTTATCTTTTAGATTTATGTACTGAAATGTTTACAAAATAATATGCTGTCTGAGATTTCCTTTAAAAGATCTATGTCAAAGGGCAATAGGTGAAGGTGTGGGGGGGAAAATGGTTGACCTTATCAATTGATAATTGCTGAAGTTGGAGGAAGCATACAGGGGCTTCATTATTTTTTCTACTTAGTATGTTTGAAACTTTACACACACTCAAACACACAGAGAGAATAACAATGCATGCCACCTCCTGAGCCTTCACTTAGGTGGCCTCTAATACCTACTGTGTGCATCTGCCTGTTATTGAACATCCTTGCCCTCTCTTCTATTCTATTCCCCACCCCCTCACCCTGAGTGCTCAGCTTGACCCCATCCATTCCTTAGGAGACATCACCCTCTGCAGGGCCTTAGGATGGTTGTTTCTCTAGACCTACTGGTTTAGCGAAGGCACCACCCTCTCAGGGTTTCCCTACCCTTCAGTCTCCTCTCCAACCACAGCCGGATCTTGGAACTTCCGTAGCACATTGGCCATAACATTTTCTCCTCTCTACATGAATCTCTTCATTTCCTCCTTTCACACTGCCTCTTCTGCCCATCTATCCCTAAGTTTCTCACAGTTCTCACACCTGTCTTTTCTGTTATTTTAATATATGTCTCTTCCATAGGCTTTGGCACCTTCCTTAACTTCTGGTTTCTCTGTACAGATGCTGGACTCCTGCTTCTGTCCCAATCCAGCCAGACATACAGTCAGAACCACTCAAGTTGCCTGCTTTGCTTTCAAGTGTCTGACCATTCATTATGCCTTTGGGTCAGGTCTCTCAGGTGCAGACTAACACTTGTGTTAAGCTTCAGCCTGTGTGTCTTATTGATACTGCATTTTGGGGCCAGCACCTGGGAAATATCAGACCTCTCACCCTTTATCCCACTTTTCTCAAGCTTCTTTCCCCTCCTCACCAGCTCCTGTGCCTGTGTTCCCAGCATTCTTTGAACTATAGCCTGGCACCATATCGTTAAAATACTGTGATGTTGGACTGTGATAAACCAAATTGTCTTCTGTGAATAAGGATTCACCAAAGAAAGTTGATTTTTAGAGGCTCCAGAGGGAGCAGGACTCAGGCCTAAGGGCCCAGATCTTCCAATATCTTGCTTTTCCTGTGAACCATGAAGACTCATTCCTCAGACTAGAAGCCAGAAATGAGATGGACTTTGGCCCAGATGAATTTTGGTCTTTGCAGTTGGTCCAGGAATGGCCCAAGATGCACTGGGCAGTGAAGAGGCTGTGAGGGGCCATTTGGATATGAGACAGGGAAAGGTGTGCGGGCGAGGGAACCAAGCAAGGAGTGTGTACAGAGGAACCCCACACCTTTGGAGCTAGATTGAAGTAATTTCAGCATGAGGAAGTTGAAGGCTCAGACAAGTCTTTTGTCCTTGAAATCTTTGGGGCAGAAATCTGGTTTTTGGAACCTTGATCATATTTAGCCTTATCTCCATCCAACAAGGACTCCTGAGCATTTGCTTTGTGCCAGGACTTGGGCCAGTTCAAGGGGCAAAAACCACTGAGCAGGAATATGTGCTCTTTCATGGAGATCATACCCTCTTGGGGGTTGGTGATGAGACGTGTGATGAGGTTCTTTTCCCACTGTGATGGTTTCTAGAAGCCTTCTGGGAAAGGTGCCTGAGTTCAGTGGTGAAGGGTGAATAAGAGATGATGATGCACAGAGAGGTGGGGAGGGCATTCTAAGTGAAGCAGTAGCACAGACAAGGACCTGGATGTGCAGACCTGCGCAGGCCGCCCCAGGCAATGTGGTGTTGCGGAGGGTAACACGAGCAAGGGAAGGAGAGAGGGTGTGATGAATCTGAGGGCAGAGAGCTCCCAGCCACTTAGGGCCCAGTGCGCCACACCTAGGAGCAGCTTGTCTTTCTGTGGTTATGCTGTTCCTCGTTGCCCTTACTCTGTGGAACAGCTTTTGGAAAATGCAACTCTGCAAAATGCTTGGAGGACTGGAAGGAGATGGACGTGTGTTCTCCTTGAACCTCAGAAGAACTGGGAGCAAGAGTGACAATTTTTGCGGGAGAATAAACTTGGTGGGGCAGCAAGAGTCAAGTGAGAAAATACTTGTGGGGAACTGAGACACAGGGACGGTACAACTGCCAGACTCCTTTCTTAAGTGGGATCCTTAGAGCACAACTCTCCTGAAGCCCTGAGGACTTTCAGTTTGGTAATATTACAAAAGTTTATATATATTATGTTATTTATGCTAATATATTCTTTTGTACATATCAAATATTGCATAATAAAATTGTATGTAACACATATATGTTATATATGTAATATATGAGTTAT